CACTTTCTTTAAAAAAGTTTTATTTTAAGCAAAAAAGCATTAAAAACATAATCATATTACAAATCAAAGAACACTTCTTAGAACTTTGGATAAAATATTATTACAATAATCCTAGACTTTATATTTTACAAAAAGTATTTCAGTTTTCTTTAAAACAATTTATGATTGTAATATGTTCCAAGTTGTCCACTGTAAAATTTTTTCGCCGATCATTTAAAATGTGTTTAAAATTGGAGAATGTGCGTTCAACATCCACACTCGTTGTTGGCGCAAATTTGAATTTTGCAACTAATGTTGAATCTAACTCCAAGTTTCCACCTTCTGACCTTGTAAAACACGAGCAACGTCGGAAAGAACACCGAAACCTGCATTTTTATTTAACACTTCGTCAAGTTTTTGAGATACTCTAGTACCAATATCACCCCTTACTGCGTTTGCTTGTTGTTTAAATTCTTTCACGAAGTTTATGGCATCTACCAACAACATGTTGGGTTTTTCTAACTTTTCTATTACCTCACATAAGAATTGATAATAATTGCTTCTTAGAAAAGCTAGATCTTGTCGCAAATCTTTGTTTTCCAAAATATTTATGCAATCTTTAATCGATTGAGAAGAATCTTCGCTAAACTGCGTAACTACTTCCTCAAATTCTTTGATATATTTGTCATAATAAAATGTGGCCTGTAACCATGTTCCCCACCTCGTTATAATCGGCTCTGGGGGCAATGGTATGTTTGGAAATTTTTCCTTAAAATGTTGCACTCTTAGTGGGGCTTTAACAAAAATCTTTTTACCATTTGCCACTAATTTATTAACAGTAGGAAACTGCAAACCTATGGGCAATGCAAGTAGAGTGAATTAAATTGGGGTACAATATTTTTAGATTATTCCCTGCTTTCAACATTTAACGAATTGCATCCGAGATCATCAATAAAATTTTATTCGCCGGTACGGCATTTGGCAAAAATAGTGACGTAAGACTGTCATTTACAAATCTGGTAATCGTATTGCCATTTGTTTAACATTTTCAAACTTACTACATACCCTCGACTAGGGAAATTTTCATTTAAGATTCCAACAATTAAACTTACCACGTATCTTCCACAACTATCGGTTGTTTCATCGACAGCGAACCATAAATAATTATCTTCAATGCGATGTTTAATTTCGTTGTAAACTTGCTGAAACACTGGGCCTACATAATTTTGTCGGAGAGTACTTTCAACCGGAATATGTCGATTGCAGTGTTTTTCAAGGAATTCTTGAAGAGGGCCTTTCTCCAATTTTTTTAAAGGTATATTAGACTGGATCATCATTTTACATAATTCGAAATTAATCTGAAACTGCTCATCTTTTGTGGAAGGAGATGCAACAGATTCATGTATGGTCTGCTGTTTAATTTTAGAAACTTCAAACATTTTTTTCCTTTCTACATGAAGAGTCGTTCTGACATGTTGCGTCACGTTATATTTTTTATCACTTTGAATCTAAAACAACGTACATATATAGGATTAACAAAGGAAAAAAAAATTAGTGGGTTTACGGTTTTCACACAAGCTCTGCAGGATATTTTGTTGTTTTCTAATTTTAATTCTGGAAAATCCCTTATCCACTCATCCGGCGTCGATTTTACTTTCGGCATTCTTTTAAAATAATAGTAATATTACCAAAAAGAACTCAACATGTAACAAGGGAGAACCACCTATAACACTGTACTACGACAGATGCGATAGACTGATGGTTGTGAAATAAACGGTTCATTTACTTAAAAGTTTCCATTAGAAAAATTGTAAGGTAGGTAGTTGGGTACAATAATCCTCTTTTCTAGAAAATCTTCAACGGTCTTGCCGCAAAATGCCGAAAAAGAACATCTGGTTAAAAGCTTTAATTCATTATCAACGGAAGTAAGGATTTAAAATCATAAAATCTATGAAGTATTTTTCCAATCCTATAATAAAATTTTATTACCCAAACGACCGGAACCTATTCACAGAAAGGGTCTTGAGTAAGTGTACTTCAATGGTCAAGTCCAGGTAAAATGCATACGATACGATACGGCTAACTAACAAGTATTTGTCATCCCGACAAGGCCCGCATTTGAACAAAATATGCATAAAACTCATATTCGTCGAAAAAAGCATTAAATAAACATATAAGTTTTAATAGGCATAAAATTGAAAAAAAAGCAAATAAGCATAAAAAAAATGTGTCAAATGACTCCAAATTGTATCATAGTTACAGATATAAAAAAGTTTTGAAGTGCTTACATTTTTCACAAAAAGCATTAAACCTAGAAATCCGCTCTCTAATAATAATAATAATCATAATGATTGCAGTAATTTGGGGATATTTAGTTGCTTCTTTTGTTTAATTTTCGTTATAGGTGTTTAAGTTAATTACGTTCTGAGTGTTAATTCTAAACTTGTACATTTATAACATTCTGTAAAAGAACAATTTTACTCTTTATGATGTAGTGCAATAGGAGAAAAATATATTTGTGTCTAGAATACTCTAACGATTTTGAATATCAGAACAACATAATTAAATTTACCATCTATCAATTTTATATGTCAATGGTATAGCGATAATTACGAAATAAAAATTTGTTAAGAAATTGTCCGGCATATACATTCCATATTGGCACATTTATCTTTCGCACTACCATGTTGAACGACCAAGAAATCTCTTATAAGTCTATATTGTTACCCATCACCCGATAAATTGTTGCTATCGCCAACTCATGTCCTTATTGTTTTATAGGAAATTAGAACTTGGCGTGACGCATTTGCCGATAAGACCTTTATGATTTGAGTTTTATTGTCAAGGGACCACATCAAGACGTATTTTTCGTTCAGTTCATTACATTTATAGTTTCTGAAGTTTGTCATTTATAACCTGCTTGCATGGCACGCTGATCTCCATTTATATGGTGTATTTTGCGCGAATGAATTCCACAAGTTTGAAGTCAACATTTTTAAGCGTCATAAACAGTAAAAATTTTACAATCCGCATTGGAATTTTAAAGCAAATGTATCATTTTCACTGCTAAAAATGTCATGTTATGTTAATAGTTAATTATTATTGTAACTCGTCTTCTCGTTCGAACACTCTTTCTTAATCTAACTAGGTAGTAAAGCTGCGTGCTCATCCCCACACATATTTTTAAAGTGATCACATCCTGTGAACAACGATATTATCTCCTATTTGGCACTAGAAGTCGCCCCAACCTGTCAATTGTCATATATGCTTTTGCACTTTTCCAACACACATCGCAAAAATTGAGGTAAATATTAATTCGCACTAGCTCCCATACCGCCAATGTAATCGCCCTGGCTTTGAAATAGAGTTCACCCGTTTGCCGTCAACCATCCAAAGGGGCAAATTCACTGTAACAATTTCAGCTGAAAACCAAATACCCACAACGTATGCACTCTAGTGCCATTTATGTTGAAAAACTTTGTATTTGGCCTCGATATAATTCATCCCTGTTTGACCATTTAGGCCAAAATATAGGCAAATTTTTACGTTTTCTGCATCGAAAACAGACGAAAGTTTTTTGCATATCGTTGGGTCAATCTACGGCCTCATAGATCTCGATACACTCACTAAGGTCGTTATTTGTTTGAAGGAAGAGCCAAGATAAAGAAAGAATGTTCAGATGAGAAGACGAGGCACAATTAGCACAATTAAAGAAAAACAATGATTATATGGCGTCCGACCTCCATTGTGCTCCCGCTTTACTTTAAACTTAATAACAATCGACAAATTGGGGCGACCTCTGATGACCAATACGAGATAAGACAGCTGTTAATGTTAATCACTTTAAAAATTGTGCGTGAAAACGAGTACAACGCGTCACTACCTACTTAAATAGAGAAACAGTGTTCGAATGAGAAGATGAGGCACAATTAAACAGGTTAAACGATTTTATGACATGCGATCTTAATTGTGCTCGTTTTCTCATCCGAACACTCGATTCCCAGAAAACCCTCAGTTTTACTTTAAACTTAATGAAAATCGACAATTCGGGGCGACCTCTGGTAACTAATATAGCATAAATCCTGGTCATTGTAAAATAAATGGAAAACCATTTTTACGGGAGTCACTGAACGTAAATAAAATATAAACCGGCCTTGTACTTTACGACGACCTTGCAAACATTAAAAAAAGTTAGAGACAAGAGACCCAGTTTGTGTCCTTGAATTTAGCCGATTTGGAGGCCGGGATTTGTCGATTTGTTTACGAATTCCGTTTTAGGAATACCCGGCCGACCCTCGTTTCCCCTTTTGCCGCTTCGTTTTTCGTGTTCTGTTAACGTTTAGAGACAGAGAGAGATTTCAAGCAATGTTTATGTAAATAAATAAAACGTATATATCTGGTGAAAGCTCAAAGGAGGAACCTGAAGTTTTAAAGTTTCTTTAATTTAGTTTTGCATTGTTCAGGTTTAGTGAACAAGTTTTTTTTTTAGTTTATCAATACAAGATTTAGGTCAATATGATACCACATCTTTTCTTTTTTAAAAAAATAAATAACAAAAGTTGCATGGAAATGCAGCACTGACTGATCGATTATGGTGGTGTTGTCATATCGTAAAATTTAGCATTCCCTAGGTAATCCACCTAGCTTTGCATAATAGTGTAATTGATGGCTTCCTCATGACGAAGTTGTATCGATTGCAAAGACTGCAGATTTTGTATACATTTTCACAATAAAACTTCAGGAAATAAGTATACCTCTAATCTGGACTTGTGTCCACCTTTATATCGGGTGATTTTTTTAATTTTCTCTTATAGTTAGCCATAACAACATAACAAAAATGAACTATTATCGTCTTCGAAAAAGCAACCTCTACACAACCGCACACCTTCCCAAGAAAAAAAAAACCCTTAATATTCCCTTTTCCAAGATCATAATCTTAAACCAATCACCGTTATCATCACCCTCTCCATTCCGCCGTGTCGAGCTTTCACCGCCCGTTAAACACTTCACTCTCGTTCCAGGGACACCGACGACCGACCTCCTCACCAAGGATTCGCGCCCTCCTTCCGCCCAGTGCGACGGTCTGCTCACCCAGCTCCACGACGGCGACAACATCTGGTCCCACTGCACGAAAACCGGCGACGCCGAGCGCCGGATCGAGGTGGTGTCGAGGGCGAATCGGGTGGTGTTGAAAGTGATCGTTCGGAGTAATCCCGCCAAAGGCGGCGGCGGCGCTCTCGGTTTACGTATGCAGTACCACGCGGCGCCCATCCAGGAGATCGTGGGCGGATGCGGTTTCGGCTGGGTCACGTTGAAACAATTTTGCGTGGCCGCGGTCGAAGAAGCCAAGCTGCCGTGGGCTCAGGCCGAGATGGAATGTGGAAGGAGGGGAGGGCATCTGGCGAGCATCAGGAGCGAACATGCACAGAATGTCATTAATAATCTTCTGATTAACAGGTAGGAGGGTTGGGGTTTGTGAACGGGAGAGGTTTGTGGGTGATTAATTCGGGCTGAAGATTGCGGGGATTTAAAATCTAGTTCTAAGATGCAACAAAAATGGAAAAAAGACAATATATTTAAAAAAAAATAAAATCTTATGAACTTAAATCAACAACTAAATTATTCGATTAATGTTTTCAGTTAAAAACAACGCTTTAATAGATACTATGAAAGCGTTGTTTTGTGGGTTGGTATTCCTGACTTTATAATGTGGTATAAATCAAACTTGACACAGAATTGACATTTGTGACCGTTGAATGATTTTCATGTTATTTCTGCATAATTACAAAATCCTGAATCCCTAATTGGAACTGACCAATCTGTAATGTAAACTTACATTTTGTCTCAAACCTAAATTAGTATGCAAACCTGCACAGCTGTTCAAAGCAGCCAGAATGACCACCCAAATCTTAATTATTTTTAATTTAGCGCCAAATTTGACATTATTTGTCGAAATTCGGTATGCCAACATTCAACAGTAACTACCACTACAACTACTACAACCGACTTAAGTAATTAAATGAAACTATGATTCAAGTAATTCCAAATTTCAAGATAATTATCCAGAATTTTAAATTAATAAGATAAAAATTTTGTTTCAATAAATTGCGAATTTTAAGTTAAGTAATTATATTACAATTTCGCAAAAACACATCAAAATTTCTGTATAAGTAAAGATTTCAACTAATTAGATCTAAGCTAGAGGTAAGAAATCTGATTTAGTTAATCAAATCAAATTTGTAAACGTTCAAAATTTGAAGCTAATTTATTAAAAATTTATTGAAAATAAGTTAAGCCTTTATATAAATTAAATTAATATTGCGAAATTATAGGTTGACATTTTAAGATAAAGACCAGAAATTTTAGTTTCTTAAACGGAAATTTAGAGCTGATTATTGAGGCGAAATTTGTACATAATTGGGTCCAGTTCTGAAATCAATAAACAGAGCTTGGAAAGGCTAGTCAATCGAGTTAAGTCGAAATTTAAATTTAAGTTCCGAGATAATTATTAATTTAATAATATGAACAGCTAATAATATAAATTTAGAAACAAGCAATACGTCACTAAATTGAAATTGAATCCCAAAAACAAATTAATTGTCCAAATTTTGGTCAGATTAATATTGGAACTATGACTCAATTAATTTTAAACTTTAAAAAAATTAGACAGTTTTAAATAAATGAGAAAAATATTTTAGAGAAAGTATCCAAAGTTCAAACTAATCAAAGTTTGAAATTAATATTTTGAAAATTTAAACTACGATAAATAATAGGACTTCCGAGTCACTAAGCTGAAAGCTTCAATCCCTAATTAAAAATTACAAGGTAATTAATTAATTAATAGTCGTAATTAAGAAGTATTACATTGAAGCTATGACTTAATTAACTTTAAACTACAAGAAAATTGGATATAGTCTTAAATGAATAAGATAAAATTTTGAGAAAAAAATCCTAATTTCGGATTAGTAATTTGGCTTAATTAACTTCAAATTTCTAGTTAACTAATTAAAATTGAACGTTAATAAGTTGAATATATAAAAATAATAGGATTGTCGAATTAATGAGTTGAAATTTTCAATTCCTAAATCAAAATTCCTAGTTAATTAATTAATTCGGTTGAAATCTTGAATTCCTAAATAAAAATTCAAAATTAATTAGTTAATTGAGTTGAAATTTTGAATTCCTAAATCGAAATACAAAATTAATTAATTAATTCAGTCAAAATTTTGGTATAATTAAATTGAAACTACAAATTAATACACTTCTTTAAACTTCAAAAAAATTAGTCAGAGTTTTAAACGAACAAGATAAAATTTTTAGACAAAAAATCCAAATTTCCCATTAATAATTCTGTGTATTTATTTAAAGTTTCTAGCTAACTAATCAAAATTTGAAATTAATACGTTGAAAATTTAAACTAGGATAAATAATAGAATTTCCGAGTCACTAAGTTGAAAATTTCAATTCCTAATTAAAAATTTCTAGGTAATTTATAGTCGCAACTAAGAAGTATTACATTGAAGCATAGTTTTGAATAAATAAGATAAAATTTTGAGAAAAAATCCTAATTTCGGATTAATAATTTGGCTTAATTAACTTTAAATTTCTAGCTAACTAATCAAAATTGAAAGTTAGTAAGTTGAAAATATAAATATAATAGTATTGTCGAATTAGTGGGTTTTCAATTTCTAAATCAAAATTCCAAGTTAATTAATTGAGTTGAAATCTAGAATTCCTAAATCAAAATTGAAAATTAACTAATTAATTGAGTTGAAATTTTGAATTTCTAAATCAAATTGAAACGATGAATTAATAAACTTCTTTAAACTTCAAGAAAATTAGTCAGAGTTCAATTAAACGAATAAGATACAATTTTTAGAGGAAAAATCCAAATTTCGCATTGATAATTCTGCTTAGTTAATTTAAAGTTTCTAGCTAACTAATCCAAAGTTTAAATTAATACTTGAAAATTAAAACAAGAATAAGTAGTTACAAAGCTGAAATTTTTAACACCTAAATCAAAATTCCAAGTTACATAATTAACTAATGGTCGAAATTTTGGTATGATTAAATTGAAACTATGACTTAATTGCCTTTAAATTTCGAAAAAATTAGCCAAAATTTTAAGGAAATAAACCAAAATTTTGGAAGAAAAAATTCAAACTTCGGATTAATCCGTTTGTTTAGTTGACCTAAAATTGTTAGCTAACTAATCAAAATTTGAAGTTAATACGTTGAAAATTTATACCCCATAAATATGTAATGGGATTTTCGAGTCACTGAATTGAAATTTTCAATTACTAAATGAAGATTCAAAATTTTAGTATAACTGAAACTGACTTACTTAACAACCTTCTTTAAACTTCAAGAAAATTAGACCGAGTTTTAAATGAATAAGATACAATTTTTCTAGAAAAAAATCCAAATTTCAGATTAATATTTTTGCTTAATTAATCTAAAATTTCTAACTAACTAATCAAAATTTGACATTAATACTTGAAAATTCAAACAAAGAATAAGTAGTTAGTAAGCTTAAATTTTTAAAATCAAAATTCGAAGTTAATTAATTAATTGATGGTCCAAATTTTGATATGATTAAATTGAAAGTATAACTTAATTGATTTTAAATTTCACGAAAATTATCTAGGATTTTAAAGTAATAAGACAAAATTTTGAGAGAAAAGATTCAAATCTCGGATTAATAATTGTGTTTATGAAACCTAAAATTTCTAACCAAGTCACCAAAAATTTGAATTCAATACGTTGAAAATTTAAACCAGCATAAATAATAGGATTTTCGAGACACAAAATTCCAAGTTAATTAATTAATAAATTGTCAAAATTTTCGTATAATTAAACTGAAATTATGACCTAATTAACTTTAAAGTACAAGAAAATTAGACTGAGTTTTAAATGAATAAGATAAAATTTTGAGAAAAAAACCTAATTTCGGACTAGTAATTTGGCTTAATTAACTTAAAATTTCTAACTAACTAATCAAAATTGGAAGTTAATACGTTAAAAATTTAAACCAGCATAAATAATAGGATTTTCCAGTCACTGAGTGGAAATTTTCTATTCCTAAATCAATATTCAAACTTAATAAATTAATTAACAGTCGAAATTTTGGTATAATTAAATTGAAACTATGAATTAATAACCCTTCTTTAAACTTCACGAAAATTAGACAGTTTTTTCTTAATTAATGTAAAATTTGTAGCTAATTAATCATCATTACTTGAAAATCTAAACAGGAATAAGTAGTTACTAACTGAAAATTTTAATTCCTAAATCAAAGTTCCAAGTTATTTAATTAATATAATTAATGGTCGAAATTTTGGTATGAATAAATTGACTTTAAATTTCAAGAAAATTATCCAGAATTTCTTTAAAATAAGACAATATTTTGAGAGAAAAGATCCAAACTTCGGATTAATAATTTGGATTAATCGACTTAAAATTTCTAGCTAATTAACCAAAAATTTGAAGCTAGTAGGTAGAAAATTTAAACCAGCATAAATAATTTGATTTTAGAGTCATTAAGTTGAAATTTTCAATTCCTAAATCAAAATTCCAAATTAATTAATTAATTGTCGAAATTTTGGGGTACTTAAATAAAAATTATGACTTAATTAGATTTAAATTTCAAGAAAATTGGACAATATTAAACGAATACAATACAATTTTTAGAGAAAATATCCAAGTTTCGGATTAGTAATGTGACTTAATTAACTTAAAATTTTTAGCAAACTAACCAAAACTTTAAATTAATATGTTGAAAATTTATACCAGAATGAGTAGAAGGATTTTCGAGTTATTGAAGTATCAATTCCTAAATCAAAATTCCAAGTTAATTAATTAATTGATAGTCGAAATTTTGGTATGATTAGATTGAAACTTTGATTTAATTAAGTTTAAATTTTAACAAAATTGGCGAGAGTTTTAAATGGATAAGAAAAAAATTTGAGAGAACAAATCAAAATTTCAGATCAATAATTTTGTTTAATTAACCTAAAACTTCTATCTAAAGAATCAAAATTTGAAGTTAATACGTTGAAAATTGAAACCCACATAGATAATAGGATTTTCGAGTCATTAAGTTGAAATTTTCAATTCAAATAAATTGAAAACATGACTTAATTAACTCTAATCTTCAAGAAAATTAGACACAAACTAATTAAAATTTATTTAACAACAAAATTAGCGCACAGACCCAGACATTTTTTAGATCCTTAAATATCGCTTGCATCATTCATGTTCTTTACTCGGCAACAAAAATCACTAAATCGCTTTAATAAGCTCCATCCACTTCTTACTTCATCGCCAATTAAAACTTTTAGCCGCTTTCTAGACTTGATCTCAATGAAATTATATTTTAAAACGCTTAGTTCGAAATTATCTCTATTAAAATAAACTTCAAAACAGATCTTAAATTGCTGGAATATCAGACACTACTT